TCGAGGAGCACAAGGACGTCACCACGGGCATCGTGTGGCGGCACCTCCACGACCCCTACTTCCTCCTCTCGGGCTCCAAGGACAGCACCCTTTACCAGCACATCTTCAAGGACGCCAGCCAGCCCATCGACCGGGCCAACCCCGAGGGGCTGTGCTACAGCCTCTACGGAGACCTGGCCTTCGCCGCCAAGGAGAGCCTCATCTCCTCCGACTCCAACCGCAAGCCCTACATCGGCGACCGGCGCCACCCCATCTTCTTCAAGCGCAAGCTGGACCCCACGGAGCAGTTTGAGTACATCTCGTCCTCCAGCGCCCTCAGCGTGTTCGAGACGGACGTGGAGAGCGGCAGCATGGACTGGTTCGTGCACACGGCCAAGCAGTACGCGCTGGCCGGCCGGCCGCTGGCCGAGCTCTGCGACCACAACGCCAAGGTGGCCAAGGGGCTGGAGCGCAACCAGGTGAGCTGAGGGACGGCTGTGCTGCAGGGGGTGGCAGCCTGGGGAGGTCTGACAGGGAATGTGCTCCACACAGGTGGCTCAGACATGGACGATGCTGAGGATTATCTACTCCAGCCTCGGCACCGTGTCGTCCGCCAACCTCAACCACAGCATGGGGAAAGGCAGCACTGCCCTCCCGCTCATGAACAGGTACGGGGGTGGGAGCTGCAGGGAGCGATGAGATGAGGGGGATGGCTCCGTCGGGGGGGAGTGGGAACGGCTCCTTGGCTGGGATGGGGTTATAGAATCACATCATGGAATACCAGAATGGTTTGGATTGGAAGGAGCCTTAAAGCTTATCTCATTCCAAGACCCTGCCACGTCCAGAGACACCTTCCACTAGCCCAGGTTGCTCCAAGTCACATCCAGCCTGCCCTTGGACACTGCCAGGGATCCAGGGGCAGCCACAGCTTCTCTGGGCACCCCGTGCCAGGGCCTCTTCACCATCCCAGGGAACAATTTCTACATAAATAACCTGCCCCAGACACAGGGAGCGAGCAGGGACAGCTCTCCCTCAGCCTCAGGCTGTGCTGGTTTGCATGTTGGCATTGTTTGAACGAAGCCATTTCCCATGTTGGTGTGGCCATCCTGGCCTCAAGCTGTGCAGCCTCACACACTGCTCCCTTCTCTCCTTCAACCAAAGTTTGGCCTGTGGTGGGGCAGGGGCTGGGACCAGCTTTGCAGTTACTGAATTCATGAATCACAGAATCTCTAATGTTGGAAAAGTCCTCTGAGATCATTCCCCCAGCAGCACAGCCAAGGCCACCACTAAACCATGTCCCTAAGCACCACATCTACATGATGTTGAACATCTGCAGGGGTGGAGACTCCACCACTGCCCTGGGCAGCTGTGCCAGTGCCTTTCCATAAAGAAATTTTCCCAAGATCCAACCTCAACCTCCTTTGGCACATTTTGAGGCCATTTCCTCTTCTCCCAGGGAGCAGAGCCCGACTCCCCTAGTTCTCCCCTCCTGTCAGGGAGTTGTGGAGGTAAGAAGGTCCCCCCTGAGCCTCCTTTTCTCCAGCCTGAGCCCCCCTCCTCAGCTCCCTCAGCTGCTCCTGGTGCTCCAGACCCTTCCCCAGGTCTGTTCCCTTCCCTGGACATGCTCCAGCCCCTCAATGTCCTTCCTGTCATGAGGGCCCCAAAAGTGACCCCAGGATCTGAGGTGAGGCCTCAGCAGTGCCCAGGGCAGTGATGGTGACCAAGGGCTGGGGATGGAAGAAGTGTCTCGTGGCTGGAGCTGGAACTGCCAGTGTGCAGAGGTTTTCTTCTGGAGCCTTTCCAAGGGAAAGCACAGCCAAGCTCTGCCAGCAGTTCGCTGGCATGGAGAGCCCGTTGTGGGCTGATGAAGCAGGAAAACTTGTTTTTCGTCTTCTCAATGACATAAATGTGTAGGGTGAGGACTCCAAATGAGCTGTCAGACCTCGCAGGACCGGGTTCCCACAGTGAGTGACAGATCCTCAAATAACATCAAAGGAAACAAGCACTGTCCTTGACCAAGCTCTGCCTCCAGCTGGGTGGCTGTGCCTGTCTGAGACACGGCAGGCAGCAGCCTGGGGAGCTGGGCTCTGCTCCAGCCCCATCCCTTCCCTTCTCCATCTTGGTGAAGGCCAAGCATGGTGATGCATAACTAACAGCCAGGCACCTTGGTGCGAGGCAGCTCCTGTTCACCTGCCTCTGAGGGGAAGGAGATGGAGCCAAGAGCCTGCTCAGCTCTGGAATTCTTCAGGGAGACCTTTGCAGTGCATGTACAATGCCACCAGGCTTGGAGGAAGGGCTGTGATCACAGTCACAATGTGTCTTTATTTGTAAGTCAGACAGTGGGGACTGGTGACTTCTGCCCACAAAGGGATATCACCCTATCTCATGTTTCTTCATTCAAATTGCAACTGGACACCTGTATCCAGGCTGTTTGCTGGCTGAAATGGAAACTTTATACTCCTCTGACTGTTAAATGTGGCTTTTTTTCCCCAGCTTTAACCTGAAAGATATCCCTGCTGGGCTGGGCAGCGAGTCCAGACTGGACCGCAGCAAAGGAGAAAGCCGCACAGAGAACATCCTCATGGATTCCTCCTCCACCCTGATCAACAACGAGGGTAACGCCCCTGGCTGGGCACAGTCCAGCCCCACAGCTCTTCCCTCCTCAGCCATAGATAGGCCACAAACTGGGGCATTTATCCTGTGAATTGGGGTGGCTGAACGTGCTGCAGCCCCAGGGTGAAGGGCACCGAGCCCCAGGGCGCTGCAGAAGGACAACTTTCCCCCATGATCTGGGGTGACGGTGACAGCGGTGGGGAGCTGAGCTGTGTGGCTCGGGCACAGCCTGGCATGCTGGGCAGGACACTGGGAGGTGGATCCAGTGGTGTGATGAGCTGATTTCTCTTTCCCTGGGCACACAGACAATGAGGAGACAGAGGGCAGTGACGTCCCTGCGGATTATCTGCTGGGGGATGTGGAGGCAGATGAGGATGACCTGTACATGATGGACCACGAGAACCCGCACGGTGAGCGCACAGGGGGAGGTGTTGTCTGTCCCAGCTGGGTTTTCTCTGCTCATTCCTGCTCTTCTCCTCGCAGCTGAAGAGCAGGAATACAGCCTTCCCCAGGAAGCCTTCCCCCTGCGCCACGAAATCGTGGACAACCCGTCGGCCTTGGACCACCTGCAGGACAAAGCCGACTCGCCTCACGTCAGCGGCAACGAGGCCGAGACGGTGTCGCTGACGCCCGTGGAGTCCTTCTCGCTGATCTCCATCTCCCACTCTCTCTACGAGAACCGCCTGCCCTCCGACTTCTTCAACCCCATCGTGCGGGACACGCTGCTCTTCTACGCCGAGCAGGGCGACGTGCAGACGGCCGTGTCCGTGCTCATCGTGCTGGGAGAGCGCATCCGCAAGGAGATCGACGAGCAGACGCAGGTAGAGCCCCTGAGGGCAGGGCCACGCCTTGCTGGGACCCACAGGGGGTGCATCCCGATGGGATGGGGTCCTGCCTGGGGTTGGGGCATGTCCCTTCTCCTCCAGGCCCTGGCAGGCCAGCTCTAAGGCAGAGTGAGCAGCTCCAGGGTTCTGGTACCCGCCCCACCAGCAGTCCTGGCAGGGATTTGAGGTGGGCTCTGCAGGGCCAGGGTGGGGAGGTGCCATTGCCCTGTTGATGCAGGGAAGGATGCTGTTCCCCAGTGTTGCAAAGCCATTCTCCCACTGCAGGGATCAGAGGATCACAGAATCCTTTAGGTTGGAAAAAGCCTCTTAAGATCATCGAGTCCAACAATTCCCCCGGCACTGCCAAGGCCACCTCTGAACCACGTCCCCAGGTGCCACCTCAACACAGCTTTTAGATCCCCCCAAGGGATGGTGACTCCACCACTGCAATGGACAGCCTGTGCCAATGCTTGACCACCATTTTCCATGAAGAAATTCTCCCTAATATCCAAACTAAACCTCCTCTGGCCCAGCTTGAGGCCATTTCCTCTTATCCTGTCCCTGTTTCCTGGGAGCAGAGCCTGACCCCCAGCTGGCTCCACCCTCCTGTCAGGGACTTGTAGAGTGAGAAGCACACCCTTCCCCCCGAGCCTCCTTTTCTCCAGGCTGAGCCCCCCAGGGGAATCTTGCCTTTGGGATGCAGGGCTGGAGTCCTAAGGGGGTTTCAGGGTGGATGTGGAGACTCAGCTGTCTGTGGCTGTCCCCAGGAGCACTGGTACACGTCCTACATCGACCTGCTGCAGCGCTTCCAGCTCTGGAACATCTCCAACGAGGTGATCAAGCTGAGCACCTGCCGTGCCATCAACTGCCTCAACCAGGCTTCCACCACCCTGCACGTCAACTGCAGCAACTGCAAGCGGCCCATGAGCAACAGAGGCTGGATCTGCGACAGGTGAGGGGGCCCAGAGGGGCTTGTGGGGACAGGGGGATGGGGTGGGTGCCCCTGTTCCCTCTTATTGCCCCCCGAGGGCTCTCCCTGCCCACACCCACCCGAATCTCCTCGTGCAGGTGTCGGCAGTGTGCCAGCATGTGTGCCGTGTGTCACCACGTGGTGAAGGGGCTCTTCGTCTGGTGCCAGGGCTGCAGCCATGGTGGCCACCTGCAGCACATCATGAAGTGGCTGGAGACCAGCTCCCACTGCCCCGCTGGCTGCGGCCACCTCTGCGAGTACACCTGAGCCCCCCCAGGGCTCACCTGAGCCCCCCAGAGCACAGCTGAGCCCCCCAGAGCCCCGCCCCTGCGGGGGAGCTGGCAGCGGGGTGGGGCAGGGGGGAGCAGGGCAGGCAGCGTGCCCTGCCCCATGCCCCTGGCACCGCCCTCCCTGTATTTATTTGTGTAAATAAGGGCTGGGGGGCACCCCCTGCCCGCCGTTTTTTACTGGATTAAAACAAACCAGCAGTTGATTCGAGCCATGACTCCTGTCTTTGCTTCGCCTGGATGCAGCGACGCCTGGGATGGGCCCCGGACCCGCTCCGGCAGGGGGTCCCGCCCTGCGGTGTCCCCGGTGTCCCCATGCTGTTGTCCCCTTGTGCCGGGAGGCCGCTTTAAGCCGTGGGGTGGGGCTCGCTTTCCGCTGCCTCTTTAAGTGATGGCCCTTACTGGGACCCGTAGTGACTCGCCCGGCCAATGACCGCGTCAACTGTTTGATCTCGGTGCATGCCGGGAATTGTAGTTCCCGGTATCTCCGGTGCCGGTCCCGATGGCGGCGGCGGCGCGGCTGCTGCTGCTCCTGGTGGTGCTGGGCTGGGTCCGGCCCGGCGCCTGCACCGACCCTCCGGGCGGCGGCTGGTAAGGACAGGGGCTGCCCCGGGACCGGTCCCTGTGCCGGTCCTGGTGCCGGTGCCGAGCGGAATCTCCCGTTGCAGGCTGGCGGGCACGGTGCCGGAGGAACCACGCTGCACCGTGGAGCGAGCCGATGCCTCCCTCACCTACTCTCTCTTCCTGCAGCGGTACGGGGGGCCCGGCACGGTCCCGGCGCCGAGACAGGGGCCGGGGGACAGTTCCGGTGCACCGGGCGGGCTAACGGGGACGGCGGGGGGAACTGGGGGAGCGGGAGGGATGCAGACCAGGGAGCCCCGGGGGAGAACTTGGGGGAAGGTGGTCGGGACGGACCCCGGTGCCCCGGGGGTGCTTTGGAGCCAATCCCGATTCCCCGGGGTGGGTCGGGGCCGGTCCCGGTGTCCCGGGGTGGGTCAGTGCCGGTCCCCGTGCTCCGCCCGTGCGGGACCCCGCTGGATGCCGCCCCCAGGTTCGCCTTCTCCCGGCCAGTGATCCTCGGTGGGGTCACGGACAATTCGGTGAGTGCCGCGAGGGGACAGAGGGTTCCGGGTGGGACGCACCTCCCGGTGCCCCGGGAGCGGCGGCAGCATCCCGGCTCCCCGCGCTCCATCCCCCAGGCGTTCCGAGCCCTCTGCACCCGGGACAAGCTGCTGGCAGCCTTCGGGCCCTTCCCGGTGCGGCTCAGCACGGCCAACACCTACTCGTACCGCAAAGGTGAGCGCGGGGCCGTGCCCGGCGGCGGGGCTGCCGCTGCCCCCGCTCATCCCTCCGTTCCCCCGCTCATCCCTCCGTTCCCGCAGTGGATGTGCCGTTCCAGGAGTACGTGGAGCACCTGCTGAAGCCGCAGGACCCGGCCCGGCTGGGCAGCGGTGGGTAGCGCCGTCCCGTCCCCCGCAGCCCCCTCCCCTCGCCGGGCTCAGCTCCCGTGTCCCCCCAGACACCCTCTACTTCTTCGGGGACAACAACTTCACCGAGTGGGGCCCCCTCTTCCAGCACTACGTGCCCCCTCCCTTCCGCATCCCGGGCACCAGCCCCGCCTACAGCTTTGGGATCGCAGGTGGGTGTGGGACGGGAACCCGCGGGATGCGATTGGGATGGGATTGGGACGGGATTGGGACGGGATTGGGCCCGGACTGGAGGCTCTCCCCAGCACCACCCCCCCGCTCCCACCAGGCTCAGGCTCTGGCGTTCCCTTCCACTGGCACGGCCCTGGTTTCTCCGAGGTGATTTTCGGCAGGAAGGTGAGAACTGAGCCCTAGGGGAGGGATTTGGGGAGGGGGGACAGAAACAAGCCCCTACCAGGTGTCCCTGAGCCCGAGGGGCCGGAGGGGGATTGGGAGGGGATGTGCCCGCGGTGTTTTCCAGCGCTGGTTCCTGTACCCGCCGGAGCAAACCCCGCACTTCCACCCCAACGAGAGCACGCTGGCCTGGCTCCAGCACACCTATCCCACGCTGCCGCCGGCCCAGCTCCCGCTGGAGTGCACCCTGCGCCCCGGGGAGGTGAGGCCAGCACTGCAGGGAACCCCAGGCTTCCCAGCCAGAGCCGTGCGACCCCACTGGTGTCCCCTGCAGGTCTTGTACTTCCCTGACCGCTGGTGGCACGCCACACTCAACCTGGACACCAGCGTCTTCATCTCCACCTTCCTGGGCTAGGGCTGGCAGGGACAAGGACACCTCACCACCATCCCAGCCAGGCCAGGAGCTCCAGCTCCTGCCACCCTCAGGGACAGGCCACTGGTATTGGGACCAACTGCCTGAGAAAGTTCTGATTTTTACTGGTCTTTGGATTAAAGTTGTTCTACTGAAGCACGCTGTGTGTTGCTACATCCCTGGAGCAAACCTGGTCCCCATAGGATGGCATCGATTCCCCAGCCAGGATATCCCCAGAAATGGCTGCTGTGAACCACTCCAGATCCTTTTCCACGTTTATTGCTGAATTTTTTTTTATTCTTTTTCTATATATATATTTTTTTAATGGACATTGGCAAACTTCCAGAGGGCGCTCAAAAGCCAGGCAGGCCGTCGGCCGACCGAAACGCTGGAATCTCACTTGGATGCAAATCTGTTGGTTATTTTTTGTAGGGTTTTTAAGGGATTTCAGTAAAAGGAAGAAGAACTTTAACCCAGGTGGTTGTTCTTAGGGAACCACAGTCCCAGCGGGGAAGGGGAGGTGGGAACCAGCCCCTTCCAGCCCTGGGGCAGTTGTTTCCCAGGAAAAGCCAGAGGGTGCAGCAGCATCCCAGTAAGTGGCTGTTTACTGGGAAGAGGGCCCAACCCTGGCCAGGCAGGAGGTGGAAGGAGGAGGAAACAACTCTAAACACAGGGAAGGACGGGGCTCCAGGTGCTCATCCCGGCAAGCCCCCTGTGGCAATCCCTGGAGCGGGACTGTGGCTGCCCTGGCTGAGGGGGTGACAGACATGGTGGTGGGGCCACCGCCGAGGAGCCAGCATTCCAACCCCCAGGCAGGTCCTGGAGCGGGAGAGGGGAGCCAGGGAGCCGTGGTGCCCAGCCGCTGCGGCTCCTCGGGAAGGGGACGTGGTGACGTGCCCTCACCCAGCGCCAGGCCCGGGGCAGCCGGGGCGGATCGGGGACAGCCGGAGAGCGAGTAAGGCATGGTGCCAGCCCGGGGAGAGCCAGCTGTGCCAGGGCAGCCGGACAGGCCAGCGCCGCCCCCGGCCCCTCAGTAATCCTCCACCCAGCCGTTCTCCGAGATGAACGCGTCTATCACCTCCTTCATGGCGAGGTTGGGGATCAGCTGGTCCTGGGTCAGGGGACTCCGCGTCACCGGGTCGAAATGCCCCACGCGCTGCGGGGAGGAGGCGCGGGGGAACCGGTTACTCCACGTGCCCGGGCTCAGCCCCGAGGCGCAGGTGGCCGTGAGGCCAGCCCGTGTGGCATCTGCCCCTGCACCCGGGCACCTGCCCACGGCAAGGGGGAGAGCCCCTCGGAGGTGCCTCCCAGCAGGATGAGGGCAGGTCAAGGTGTGAGACCCCTGCCAAGAGCCGCCTCCGCTTTGGGCAGGGCCTGGCAGTGCCTGCTCCACAGGGAGCTGCCCGGGCAGGTAACTGGGAGCAAACCCAAGGAGCCTGCGGAGCCCTGAGTCGAGCAAAAAGAGGCCTTCCCACCCAGGCAAGGTCCTGGGAAAGCCCCCTGGCCCAGCAGTACCTGGAGATGCTCCTCAATGTCCTTCCTGTCGTAGGTGATCCCACTGGGCGTGATGCAGGGCTCTCTCATCAGCTCAAAACTGATCTTCCCACACAGGTAGTCAGGGATGTCCCGCTTCTGGCTCGAGAGAGGCACAGCTGGGTCAGGAAAGTGGGCTGGGAGGTGGTGCTGGCTCAGAGCGGGGAGCAGGGTACACAGCAGGTTTACAGGAGCACAGGCTGGGCCACACTCACCTTCCTCTTCTCATCCACTTGGGAGAAGAGCTCGTCCATGTCTGCCAGGTATTTGTCCTGAAAGACAAGCCCTTGAGGACAAGGGGTCCCTGGTGTGCAGGGGCTACAGGCCCCCAGGGACAGCCCCAAAGCCTCCCACCATGGGTTGTGGCAGGTCTTCGGTGGCCCCTCTGCCTGTGCAGCTCCTGAATGAACCTGGCAGGAGTGATTCAGCTTACAAATAACCTTCCTTTGTGGGCCTATTTCTATCTGGGATTAGTCCCCAGCACTCAGACCCACATGTGGCCGAGAGCCACTTGTGTTTCAAGGAACAACAGGCACAGCAGGCCTCACTGCTGCCAGGCTGGGACAAGAGGTGACAGAGCAGGGGAAGCCATCATGGGGGGACACAACAGCCCTGCGGGAGTGGCTTGAGCTATAGAATGAAGGCTACTGTGCTGTGTCCCAAGGTCTCCCAGCTTTCACCTGCACAGCTGCAGCTCTGCAGCTTCCCCGGCTGCAGCAGAGCATGAGGATGGGGGATGAGGATGGGATGAGGAAGCCCCCAGCCCCCACTCACGTGTTTGGCCTCGATGCTGGCCAGCTGAACACGGCTCCGGCTCTCGTCTGTGTTTTCCTCCTGCTGAGTCTTTCGGCACTCCGCCAGCTCCCTAGGACAGAGTGGGAGACCAGGAGGATGGGGGAACATTGTCACTCCCTTCCCTGCTGCAGGGCTCTGCAGAGACACCTCACACAGAGCTGTGACAGCCTGGTGGCACTCAAAAAGCCTTTCCAGGTGCCCCGTTACCTCTCCTTCTCGGCCACGATCAGCTTGGTCAGGTGGGAGTGCAGCTCGTTCTCCTGGTTGATGCGCTTCTCCTCGATGCTGTTCCAGCGTTTCTTCTTGGCGATGCGCAGCGCACTGGGGATGTCGTCCCCGAAATTCAGCCGCTGCTCCTTGGCGAGGTTGTAGGCTGAGGAGAGAAAGGGCACCTCAGCGCCAGCAGCAGCGTCCCTGTCGCCCTCCTGGCCCTTTCCCAGCAGACAGGAGCAGGGGACAGTGGCAGCGTGCCCGCTCACCTCTCTGCAGGTTGGCGATGGCCTCGTCGTAGTTTTCCATCTCCATCTGGCACTGGCCCAGGAAGAAGTGAGCCTTCACGGACTGCCCGTCCAGCTCCAGCGCCCGCTTGCAGTCGGCCAGCGCCTTGTCGTGCTGCTGCATCTTCAGGTAGCACAGGGCCCGGTTGGTGTAGTACACGGCCACCAAGGGGTTCCGGTTCTGCGGGGACAGGCCCATGTTGGTGGCGGCGGCAGCGCCAGGACGTGCTGGCGGCCGGGTGACAGCCCGGTGACTCGGTGAGCCAGCGGCGCGGCGCTGTCACCCTGGGCAGGGAGGGCCAGCAGTGCCAGCCGGGGCGTGCACCCCGTGGGGAGGTGCTGGCATGGACTGGGACAGGCTGGGGCCGGTCCCCATAGGGCAGCCCATGTCCCTGCCCCCAGAGGGGACTGTCCCCCTGGCACCCCAACTGTTCCAGGGTGGGTCTGCCCTACCCAGCAGGGCCCAGGGATAGTGCAGGGTTTAGGGGAAACAGGCTCAGGCTGGGGGCACTCGGGGGGTGGGGGGTGCAGGGCTTGGAGTCCAGCTTGGAGTTGGGTGGGGGAGAGGATGGGCTGGGGGTGTCCAAGTCCAGAGAGAGGCCAGGCCTAGGGGTGGCAGTCCAGGCCCAGGAGGGGGGAATCAGGCCCAAAGCTGTGTCCAGCACCCCAGGAGGAGCCAGACCCAGTGAGGGAACAGTGTCCAGATTAAAAGGGTCCCATCTCAAGGGTATCTTGGCCAGGCCCTGAGGAAGAACAGTGCCCAGCCCAAGGAGGTTCCACCCTGGTGATGCCCAGGCCAGGCCTCGGGAGATGTCCAGGCTGGGGGAAGGCCCATTCTGCAGGCATCAAGGCCCGGTGTGTGGCGAGGGTGTCCCATCCCCGGGGACCCCACCCCAGCGCTGGCCAGGCCAGCTCCGGGAGGATGTCCAGGCCAAGGGGGAGGTTCCAGCCTGGGGCCATCGAGGCCAGGGGGGAGGTCGGTGTGTCCCGTTCCCGGGGAGTCCCGTCCCGGGGGCACCCAGGCCGGGCCCTTGAGGACGGCGGTGCGGGTGTCCCCTCCCCGGTGCTCCCGTCCCGCGGGCCGGTCCCGCTCGGGCCGGGGGCGCCGCTGCGACTCACGATGGCGCGGCCGTAGCAGGCGGCGGCCTCGGGGTACTTGCGGCCGCCGAAGAGCCGGTTCCCCTGCTCCTTGTGCTCCTGCGCGCTGTGGCTCTTCTCGGGGCTGCCGCCGCCCGCGCCCCCAGCGCCCGGCCCGGCTGCGCCGGGCCCCGCCGCGCCGCCCTCGCGCTCCTCCTTGCCCTTCATGGCGCGGCCCGGGNGCTTGCCCCCCCCCCCCCCGCCCCCTGGGCCAGCCAGCCCCGGCACCCGCCCTGCCTCCCGTCAGGGGTGGGGGGCACCCCCAAAACCCCCTCCCCCGATAGAGACACGAGCCCCCGCAGTGTGCAAAATATTTATTTATACTCCAAAAAGGTCTGGGGGGGGTTAGAGCGGGGATCCCCCGCGCCCCCATCCCGCGGCCAGCCCCGTCCCGGGAGGGCGGCTGGCGGCAGAGCGGGGGGCCGGGGCGCGGGGAGGGGGCTGTGCCGCCGAGGGCACTGCCAAAATGAGTTGTGCCGGTCTCAGCTGGTTCCTGCCGGGCTCTCCCCATATCCTTCTTTTTGTTAAATTCCTCTTTCTTTTATTTATATTTATTTTGGCATAGAAAAATAAATCGCTCCTCTTTTGGCACCAGTCCTTCTTGTGAAAGTGCAGGTCCTGGGGGGCAACGAGGCGGCCCCCACCCTGGAAAGGGGGTACGGGAGCCAGCGGGGGTCCCCCTGACTCGGCTCCCTCCCGAGGGGCACGTTCCGAGCCCTGCGGGCACCCCGGGGGGGTTGGCGATGCCGGGGCAGGGCTGAAGCATCCTTTGGGGACGGGGGATGGATGGATGGAAGGATGGACAGATGGATGGATGATGGATGGATTGATAATGGATGGGTGGGTGGATGGATGAGGGATGGATGCATGGATGGAAGGATGGAGTGCCACCCCTCATGCCACCCACAGCATCCTCCCACCAATCCTGCCCACCCCACAGTGCCAGCCACCCCATGGCATCCCCCCATAATGTCCCAGCACTTTGCCCAACCTGCAGACAGCTCCCATCCCCATTGTCATCCCATGGCATCCCCCACCATGGTGCCCACCCTACACAGCCATCCACCCCTGTCCCCCCCTCTGTGCCCCCTTGTCCCCTGGCTGACCATGACAACGTTGGCGAGGTGAGCAGAGCAGAGGGCGTAGACCCCCCCTGAGCCCCCCACCAGGGGGGCCCTCATGTCCGTGATGGAGACGGTGAGGGAGCCTGGGGGCACAGACAGGGCTCAGCATGGGGTCTCCCCCCACAGCATTAATTAATTACTGTCTACATTAATTAATTACAGCCTGCATTGCCCCCCAGCCCCCAGCCAAGTGATGCTGGCACTGCCAGCAGAGCCCAGCATCCCCACCAAACTCGGCACTCACCATGCCCTCCCCGGGCTGGTGACAGGAACTGGGGGAAGGTGGGGACAGTCCCCCCCCGGGCAGCACCCACCTGCCAGGACCCCGGCCAGGTAGAGGAAGCTGATGCGCAGGATGCCGTGCACCATCTCCAGGGGCACCCCGATCATCAGCTGCAGGAGGGCATTGAATCCCAGCTGCTCCAGCCTGCCCGGGCACAGGAGGGGAGAGGTGGGGGCTCAGCCTGTGCAGCCCCTGGGGTGTTCCCCCTGTCCCCCCCAGCAGGACCTACCCCACGTGCATGAACATGTAGGTGAGGAAGCGCCAGGCGCGTGCCCGGTGCCCGGGGTGATAGACCAGGGGGCTCTTCATGTACTCGGGGTGGTAGGTCTGCAGCACCCACTTGTTCAGCCGGGCCCCGTAGCACAGGAACACGATGATCTGTGACAAACCCCGCAGTTGTCACCCCCCTTCACCCCACAAGTGAGCCCCACAAGGGCACCAGGGTGTCACAGCTGGGGTCACCCATCCCCACTGCCCTGGGGGTGAGTCACACATGTGGGCACAAGGACATAACAAACAGGGTCCTCCATCCCTTCACCCCAGGTGTGAGTCCCCCAAAGGGCACCAGGACATCACAGCTGGGGTCACCCATTCCTTCTACCCTGGATCTGAGCCCCTCCATGGGCACAAGAACATCCCAATGGGACCACTCAGCCCCACTGCCCCAGCTCTGAGCCACCCACGTGGGCACAAAGATGTCACATCCAGGGTCACACATCCCCTCATGACAGCTCTGCGTGCACCAGGAGCTCACAACCAGGCTCACCCCCCCTGCCCCGCCCGAGTCTGATCCCTGCCAAGGTCTCCAGCCGGGACCGGCAGTCCCCGTGCCCGTACCTGGGTGAGGGTCACGGCTGCCATGAACACGGGGGGCGGGCAGGTGCGGTGCTGGTAGAAGTACCAGCGCCGGTCCATCTCGCAGGGCAGGATCTCGTAGGCCACGTAGCGGACGAAGCGTTTGTAGATGCCGAGGCCGGTCTCGTCCAGCAGGACGTCGCGGGGCAGCGCCCGCTGCCCGTTGGCGATGGCGCGCTTGAAGCTGCTGGAGCGCTTGCTGCTGATCTGCGGAGAGAGGCCGTGCCCGCGGGGGCCGCGGGGGCAGCTCGGGACCCCCGGCCTGGGGCCACCCCCTGCCCCGCCACCCCCTCGTGCCGCAGCCCGGAGGAGCCACCCCGAGGCCATCCCGCCATCCCGCGCCAGGGGAGACCCTGGGGACCGCCGCTGTCTGCCCCCCTCCCCAGGGGCACGGGGAGGTGCCCGGCGCCCACCCCGGGCTGGCACCCACCCCGTCCCCGCGGCCGCCCGGCACTGACCAGGTCTACCAGCTCCTGGTAGCAGACCTGGCCCTCGTCGTTGCCCTGTGCCAGGGCCACCAGCATGTCGAGCTTGGCGGGGTCCAGGGGCAGCTCATGGCTGTGCACCAGGCTGGCGAACGTCTCCACGCCGATGAAGCCGGTGTTTTCGGGGTCCAGCTGCGGGGCACGGCAAGGAGCATCACCGGGGTGCCGCGGCTGCGGCTCCCTGCTCGGCTGGGGACACCTCCTGGTGTCCCTGGTGCCTCACGCCTGGCTCCGTGACACCTGTCCCTGCCTCCGCGGGGAACACCACAGCCTGCAGCCGCCCCGGGCCGTGCCCCGTGAGGTGCCCTGTGCCACGCTGCTGCCCCGTGCCGTGCCGGTGTCCCCGTCTCCCCGCGGCGCAGCCAACACTCTCCCACTCAGTTATTTCTCGCCGCCAGCAGCCTGCCAGCCAGGAAGCCACCAAGCTAAACACACGCGCAGCCCTGGCACCAGCCTCCTCCTCCTCCTCCTCCTCCTCCTCCTCTCCTCCTCCTCCTCCCGCCGCCCTTGCCGCCGGCCGCTGGCATCCACCGCGCCCTGCCCGGGGCTCCCTGTGCCATCCTCGGCGCTCCCAGAGCGGGCCGGGCACCCCGAGCCCCCGGGCACAGAGCCCACGGGCACCCAGCGCCACGGAGTGCCTGACGTGGGACCGCTCATGGGGAGAGGGAGCCCGGGGTGGCACAGGAAGGTGGAGATGGGGAGAGGGCACCCACGGCCAGAGCACAGCCCCTGCAATCACCCTGAGGTCGTGTGGGGTTTGCCGGGAGGAAATGCGGGAGAGGAGCCTCATCCTCGTGGGATGGGCAGGAGTGGGAGTCCTTGGGACACGGGATCGTATCGCCACCGGGTGGGCACCCTGTCCCTCCCTGCTCCCCCGGCAGCAAACAGCCACAGCCTCTTTCCCGAGGGGGTTTGGCTACCCGGAGCGGGGTGCAGGGTGGGATGAGGGGAGCAGGGTGGGATGAGAGGTGCAGGGTGGGATGAGGGGTGCAGGGTGGGATGAGGAGTGCAGGCAGCGCCTGCAACCTCTCAGCAGCTGCCAGCCCATGGGAGCAGCCCCAGCCACGGGGAGCGGGACACCCGGGTGTCACCCGTGCCCCTGCCCCACACCCGTCACCCCACAGGCTCCACGTGTGTGTGTCACGCCGGGACCTGGCACACGCTGAGCCACCGGCCCCCAGAGCACCAAGAGCCCTGTCAGCAGCCAGGGAGTCCCTTTCTTCTTTTGGGGTGCATCTCCCCCCACCCCAAACTCACTGGCACCCTACGACCACCCGGTGGGGCCCAATCCCCAGCCCCCAGCCCTCCCAGCACTGCTCATTCCCGAGGAAGGTGCTGCTGGTTCCTGAAGAGCCCGGGTTCACATGGAGCCCCTGTGCCCGAGGGTGGGGTGACACGGGGGACAGCTCCGCGGCTCCCGGGTTGGGGGACTCAGCCAAGGTCACGGAAACAGCGGGGGGCGAGTGGGGGATCAGTTCTTTTTCCTGATCCCCAAGAAATTCCTTCCCCATGGCCAGGGGAGAGCCGCCAGCTGGGCCAGGGCTGGGCGGGGATGGAGGGACGAGGCGATGGAGCTCAAGGGGGGCTGGTGGGGGCCGGGGGCAGCGGGTGGAAGCCCCTCGAGGCCCCATCGTGCCGCGAGCAGAGCCCCACGCCGCGCAGCGCTGATGCTCCACGGCCTCATCCCGCAATCAGGTCACGGGGGTGGGCGCAGACCCCCGCCTCGCCGGCGGCACCGAGCCCACGGCAGCCCCGGGGCTCCATCCGGCACCCAAACCCCGCCGGCGGCGCTGGGGCTCCGTGCCCAGCACCCCTCGTCCTTGAGGGCGCACGGGCAGGATCCGACCCGGCGCTGACGGAGGGAGAGGCCACAAGTGAGATGAGTCGCGCGTTCTCAGCGGCACAGGGCGGGGGTTGTTCCCCAGGGCGGTGATGAGGGGCTCCGAGGGGCGCTGGCGGGGGCTGGCACGGCCGCGCTGGCCGCCCTGGGTGGGCAGCGGTGCCCGCTGCGCGCCAGCCGTGCCCGGAGCGTGCGAGCACCCCGGCCCCGGTAGCGATGGCCGCTGTCCGGCGGCCCCCCCGGCGCTGCCCGGTGCCCGGTGCCCCCCGGGCGGCCTCACCTGCTCCTGGATGAGCTGCAGCAGGGAGCTCCTGTCCATGCACCCGGCGGGCTGAGGGCTCCGCCGCTCCCCCGCGCCCGGGGCCGGCGAGCCGGGCAGACCGGGACCCGCCCCGCCCCGCCCCGCCCCGCCGGCAGCGCCGGGACACGGCCCACGGCACCGGCAGCGAGCCCACACCCGGCGCTCGCAGCGTGGGATGGTGCCGGCAGCCCGGTACGGCTGCGGACATCCCGGTACAGGTACCTGCATCCCGGTACGGGAATCTGCATTCCGGTATGGGAACCTGCATCCCGGTACTGGTACCCACATCCCCATATGGTAACTTCATCCTGGCGTGATACCTGCTTCCCAGTGTGGTGTCTACATCCCAGCGTTGGCACTCACATCCCAGTATTGGTACCCAGATCCTGGCCCAGTTCCTGCATCCCAGAGCAGCTCTGTGCATCCTGCTGTGGGTACCTGCATCCTGGTCCCCGTGTCCCAGCACTGATCCTCACATCCTGGTGTAGGACCTTGGTCCTGCTGTGATCCCTGTGTCCCAGCACAGGGTCTGCATCCTGGAATGAGAACCTGTATTCCATTTCCAGTACTGCATCCCAACACAGGTACACGTATTCCTGCACCCACATCCTGGTACATGGTTTTGCAGCTGCCCCCTGCTAGAGGAATCCATATCCTGGTACAGTACCAGCATCCCAGAATGGACACCAGGGTCCCAGAACGGACACCAGTGTTCCAGAATGGACACCAGCATGCCAGCATCAGGTACCTGCTGAATCTGGCACAGGTGATTGCAAACATTCCCCTCCATTCTGTCCCTGCACCCACAGGCCAGCACAGTCCAGGTACATCCCCCATGGCACAGGGGACACAGAGCCTCCACTGCTGTCCCCTGCTGCAGCACAGTGCTCATGAGACAGCCTGGCACTGGATCCCTGGAAGTGGCACCTCTATGGGATGTGCCCAGTGTCACCCAGGCCAGGCTTCCCTGGATCCCCAGGCAGGGCAGGGCTGCTCCCAGGACCCATCCCTGGTACCATCCTCACTTCCAGAGCCGTGGTTCAGCCCCACCGAGGTGCCCAGGGAGCTCTGGGCTCCCCAGCCCCACCAGGCTCCTGCCCTGGGGACAGCGTGTGGCCACGGCTGGGATCCCATGGCCCTGCCACGCGTGTGTCCCGCCCCACCCCCGTGCCTGTCCCAGCACAGCGCCCGTGCCCGTGCCAGTGCTATTAATACCCACCAGGGCACGTGGGCCGCAGCTCCCGGGGGATCCAGCCTGGTTTGGAGTCACCAGGGAGCACCGCGTGTCCCTTCCGCCTTGGGATCGCTCCTCTGCCCGTGTGGCAGCACGGCTGTGTCCCCCATCCTCCCTGTCCCTGGCTGCCCGTCTGGGAAGGGTCTCCTCTCCCACCCCTCAGCCCAGAGGGATCCCCCCTCATGTGGGAGCAGTCTGACCCCATCCAGTGGAGTGCAGAGGCTCTGGAAAATCCTTTTCTGTGGCTGCGCCCACATTCCCTGTGCCCAGCGCCCATGGCTGAGGCTGCAGGGACAGAAATAGCTGAGGGAAAAGCTGCCATGGGAAAAGCAGGGAGGGGAGGTGGCACAGCCCTGGGAGCTGTGGGTGCAGGGGGAAAGTGACTGCAGGGAAGCGGGGAGCCCCAAACCCCACACAAGGATGGGCACAGAGATCCACAGCTCCCAGGGCAGCCAATGCTCCCCCTTCCCATGGATCCCGGGCAGAGAACCACGGGATCCATCACCTCCTCCTCTGTCTCTGCACCCTGGCTGGCACATGTTGTATGAGGATCCGTGTCCCCAGGCATCAAGGAGACCTGGCCAGCCCCAAGGCTTGTCCCACCACACCAGGCCCTAAATCCCTGTGACTGCCCTCAAACGGGGCAGCCAGGCTCTCGGGGTGGCCCTGCTCCCCCTGCAGCCCAGGCAGGGACGAGGGTCCTGCTCCCCAGGTGACACAGGACACGGTGTGCAAGCGCAAGGTGTGTAAAAATTTATTTTGCTGTAGAGAACAAACCTAAAACATTACAGCTCCAGCAGATGTGGAGCAGGGAGACACCAGGCACGGGCCCAGCTGGCAGAGTCACGCACGGTGGGCACAGAGAAGGACATTGAACATGAGGGATGTGGCCCTGGCAGTGCCAGGGACCAGGGGCCAGCAGTGAGTGTGTGCCCGACTGGCAGAGCAGCTCCAGCACAGGCAGGGACACCCGGCTGGCCAGCGCTGGGGACAGCAGGATGGGGACACCACCCTGGGGCTGTCCCTGGGAGAGACACCAGTGCTGCCCAGCGATTCCTCCATCCCCTCGCTGGCTCCAGGCCACGATAAAACATTTAAATAGACAAAACACAGAAAAAGCAGCTCTGGGCGCTACCCAGGATCTGCAGCTGCCTGGAGACCGACCCTGAGCATGCTGGGGAAGGCCAGGCTGGTGGCACGGCCAGGCTGGTGGCATGGCCAGGCTGGTGGCACGGCCAGGCTAGTGGCATGGCCAGGCTAGTGGCACAGCCAGGGCTGATCCAAGCTCCCCTGGGAGGCCAGGAATGCAGGGATGGGTGCTGGCCTGGCTCTTTGGGACTTGCAGACAGGGACACTGGGGGGCTTTGGCCCCAGTGGGTGCTGAGCTGTCCCAGCAGATGAAACCAGCTCAGGTGTGGGCCGGGGACAGGAGACAGGACAGGAGAGGATGGAGCTTCCAGTGGTGCCAGGAGATGCAATGCCCAGAGCCTCACACTCCAGACAGGGCCCCACAGAGGGGACAGCAGGTCACAGGGCCTAGGGCACAGTGTGGCACCAGCTGAGTGATGGCACTGCCACGGAAAGACTGGGCACACAGTGGGCATCCAACGCCCTCCCAGTCCTTACCAGGGCTCCTGGAGCCCTGCAAATACTGGTGGCCATGAACACTGGTGGCCAGGGGTGGGAGGGGTCAGGCCAAACGAGAGGCAGGAAAGGATGGACCCAGAGCCTGAGCCTGGCACGCTGCAGGACTCACAAGCTTTTCTTGTAGAAACAACAGAAAGGAGCTCAGGACAAACCCTGGTTGTCACTGTCCCCCCTCAGCTCAGGACAGCAGCCACTGTGTCCCAGCAGGAGGGGCCAGGCCTGACCCCACACACTGGGCTGGGGGTGTCAGTGCCTGGCCCTCCCTCCCCGGCTGCCTTTGGCGGCACTGGCTGAGGGAAAGCGGGACAGGAGATGGAGCTGTGCCCCAGGGAGCTGCAGCCATGAGCTCATCTGACAGCTCAGCTGCTGCTGCAGCTCCCAGAGGCCCCAGGAGCGCTGTGCCCTCCAGAATTGAGGGCACCAGCACAGCCCTCAGGGGAGGGGATGTGCCCAGTCCAACAGACACTGAAACACTCATGTTTGAGCTTAAAAACAAGCGTTAAAAAAACTGAACAGAATAAAAGATGAGGGTGATCCTCCAGCTGCTGGTGAGGCAGGGCTCTCCTGGCAGAGCTGCCTGCCCTGTGGCCACGGGGGCCAGGAGGCCACAGGGTGGTGCCAGGGATGGATCCTGCTGGTGCTGGGAGGTCTGGCTTCACTGGTCCTGCAATCCGGGCTGGGGGCAAAGGAGGATTTCCTACCAGGGGCCGGCTTGAGGCGGGGCCCCTCTGGGCGTCGCTGGGGACGGGGAGCTGGTGTCACGGGTGGGGCGCGGCTCTCATTTGTTCTTGGCCAGCAGGCGGTACAGGGTGAAGCCCACCAGCGCCGTCACTGCTGCCCCCAGCGCCACCCGCAGCCAGAAGGACGCGACTCCCAGCTCCACGGCGTTCAGGTGGCTGCAAGCAAACACAGGAGAGGCTGGTGAGCGTGGCTGTCCCGGTGCTCCCACCCTACACAAGGAAGCTGGGGGTGCCAGGGGGCGAGCTCAGCACAGGGGAGAACAGCCCAGTGAGAATCTGAGAGATTCCCTGCCCCTACAAGCACAGCACTCATCGCCTGGTATCACCACCAAGGCAAGGGAGTGCTGTGGGATGGATGTGGCTGTCCCCTCCCTGCCCTGGAAACAGCTCTCCAACACCTAAATAATTATACAGGTATCTGCCTTTCTAGGTCAAGCTGCCTTTCCAACTCCCCGTGCACGGAGAGCCGGGATGCCACCACGGGGACACTGGGATCAAAGGGCAGCGAGGGACAGGGCCCGGTGCTGCCCCAGCGCACACATTCCCTCCCCAAACACGTGCTGTCCTGCACTAACGTGCTCCTCTCCTCTCTCTTCCTCCATCCATAATTCATTCTCCACTACATCGGGGGAGCACAGCCAATCCCCGGCCCTCCATTACGCTGTTATTTATTTATACCACATACCCTAAGATATATTAAGAATATTTAAATTTTAATACTGCAGAGGGGAGGAAAAAAAAAAAGCGTCAGCTCTAAAAATAAAGTTGTTTATTGAAAAGAAGCTGGAGGGAAAACTACTCACTAGTAATCCCATCCTGCCTTCCAATGCTCCCACACGCTCTCCCCGCCAGGGCTCAGCCCCTGGGGCTGTGCTCACCCTTCCTGGCCCTGGAGCAGAGGGATTCCACTCACAGGGATCCTCCTCCCTCCCCACAGCCCTGTCACCTCCCGTGACCAGCCTGGTGCTGTCCTACCCATTCCCAGCCCCTCTGGGGTGCAGTTCCTCCCAAAGAGAGGCTGTGTGACAGAGGTCTCGCTTCACTGACCTCTTTTCCAGTCTGATCCATCTCATCGGGAGAAAATAGCTGCCACCCCCCCCCGTGGGCCTTGGCAAACTAAGCTGGCTACTCCTCTTCAGCATTTTTTATCTTAGGCTTCAAAAATAAACACTTCTGTGGCAGGATCTATCTACTAAATCTGCCAGAGACATACACACAGGCAGATGAAAACCTCCCCCTTCTGCAATTAGAGGAAGAAGTGGCTTTTCTGTTTCAATTATTTGTATAAGCAGATCACAAATCACAGAACCTGGGAATGGTTTGATTGGAAAGGAACCTTAAAAGCTCATCTTGTTCTTTCCCCTGCCATGACCAGGGACACCTTCGACTATCCCAGGGTGCTTCAAGCCCCAATATCCAATCTGGCCTTGGACACTACCAGGGATCCAGGGGCAGCCACAGC